CGGGGTGGGCGCTGGGGCTGCACTGGAGACGCCCCCGCGATTGGTGCCCGCAGCCTCCCGCGCGTGGTCCGAGAGGCCCCACGCTCGCGCCAGGCTTCCAAGTGGGAGGCGCAGGAGTGGCGGGGCTTTCCCGGACCCTGGGCGCGGAGGCGGCGGCAGAGGACTCGCCGCCGCACTTACCTTTCGCCTTCGGGAAGAGCTGAGGCGCCAGGCGCTGGGGCGCGGGACTGAAGCTTGCCCGCGGCGTCGGAAGGCCGTGGGTCAGGACTCTGGATGTCGCCTAGGAGCCCAGGGTAGGGGACAGCGACCGAGGTCCGGGCGAGCCAGGCCTCCTTGCCCGTGTCCGCGCCGGCCCTTAGTTGCTAAGGGTGGCCCTTAGGAATGGGAGTTGAAGGGAACCTCTGGTTCCTGAGGGGCTTGGTCTCCTCTGGCATCCAAGAAATCCGTTGGGAAACCCGGAGCAGCATCCGGGAGGTGCGGCAAAATTTTTTTCTTTAATAAACTTTTTATTTTGGAAGAATTTCAGCTTTACAGAAAAGTTGCAAAAGTAGTATGGAGAGTTCCCATATACCCCTCACCCTGTGTGGCAACTTTAATTAATTAACCCAGCAGAAGTGGCTGTGTAAAGTCGGGGGCTAATGACTTCCTCACCGACAACTGGCATGCGTGGTCTTCTGGGCACTTGGGGTGACAGTGTTGTTGTTTTGTGCCATTGAGTCGATTCCAACTCCTGGCGACCCTATATGACAGAGTGGAACTGCCCCATAGGGCTTCCTAGGCTGTGATCTTTATGGGAGCAGATGGCCAGGTCGTTTCTCCCAAGGAGCAGTTGGTGGGTTTGAGCCACCAAGCAGCTCCTAATTTTATGGTTTTTATTATTACATTGGCACAAACGCCCACAATTTGCTTATTGCATTTTCACTAGTGTTGTGCTTTGAAACCCAAGTTGAAATGTTGATTAGAAAACCTATTGATTCAGTCAGAAAAAAATGTATTCAGAGTCTGCTCTGTGCCAGGCAGTGTTCTAGGGACAGAGGATACAGCAGTGAGCAAAACAGATCAAGTTTCCACCCTTGAAAAATTTATATGCTATTGGCAGAGTCAGAGAGGGGGAAAAAAAGTAAAATATAAGGTATGTCGAATGGCAGCCAGTACTGTGGAGAAAAATAAAGCAGGTAAGAGGTTTGCCATTGTAAAGGATAGGGTGGGAAGACCTCACTGAAAAGGTGGCTTTGAGTAGAGACTGGAGGGAGCTTTGAAGTTTGTTAGTCAGTAATAATTCAGGTGTTTGCCTTGTTTAGGACTGAGCCAGGTTCTGTAGGTTTATGTAGAACCTTAGTGTACAACATAACCCTTGCCCCCCAAGGTGCTTCTATTTCAGCTGGGGAGATCTGATTCCCATAACTGTATTGGGAAACTGCAATCCAGAGAAGGGAAGGGACTTGTCTAAGGTCACCTATCTCATTGTTGTTAGTTGCTGACGAGTCGATTCCAACTCATAGCGACCCCATGTGTGCAGAATAGAACTGCTCCATAGGATTTTCACATAGTTGAATGCCTTTGCATAGTCAATACATAGGTTAATATCTTTCTGGTATTCTCTGCTTATGGATCATAACAAATTATGGATGACATTACAATGAATGGGAATTCCAGAACACTTAATTGTGCTCATGAAGAACCTGTACATAGACCAAGAGGCAGTTGTTCGAACAGAAGAAGGGAATACTGTGTAGTTTAAAGTCGGGAAAAGTGTTCATCAGGGCTGTATCCTTTCGCCATACTTATTCAATCTGTATGCTGAGCAAATAATACAAGAAACTGGACTATATAAAGAAGAATGCGGCATCAGGATTGGAGAAAGACTCATTAACAACCTACGATATGCAGGTGACACAACCTTGCTTGCTGAAAGTGAAGAGGACTTGAAGCACTTACTGATGAAGATCAAAGACTACAGCCTTCAGTATGGATTGCACATCAACATAAACAAAACAGAAATCCTCACAACTGGACCAATGAGCAACATCATGATAAATGGAGAAAAGATTGAAGTTGTCAAAGATTTCATTTTACTTGGATTCACAATCAACACGCATGGAAGCAGCAGTCAGGAAATCAAACAACACGTTGCATTGGACCCATCTGCTGCAAAAGACCCCTTTAAAGTGTTAAAAAGCAGAGATATCGCTTTGAGGACTAAGATGCGCCTGACTCAAGCCATGGTATTTTCAGTTGCCTCATATGCATGCAAAAGCTGGACAATGAATAAGAAGTCCTAAGAAGAATTAATGTCTTTGAGTTATGCCCACCTGCACACGGAGGCTAAGACCTTTGCCCAGAGTTGCAGAGCTGGTAAAGTGGAGGAACTAGGCTTCCAATCTGGCAGCCTTATTCCAGAGGCCATGCCTTTAACCACTGTACTCATTGCCTCTCTCTATGAAAATAAGAGTAGTCAATGTCTGGGAGAGGGGCTGGGCGCTTCCCAGGGTAGCAGGACCGGACTGACTGGGACTCACGCAAGTATGTATAGGACATTTGTTAAGAAGTGAATGATCATGTATTGGAGACTCGCATTATAATTACTGGACTGTGTAATCCAAACAATAAATACTGCAGATGTTTAGAAGAGAGGAAACTGTGAGAGCTGGTAGTTTCATGGAAGAGGTAAAACTTGAGCTAAACCTTTAGGATGGGTGGACTTTGAGTAGGTGGAGAAGTCATTCCCAGTGAGGAGAATAGTAGGAGTAGAAACCAATAAGTGGGAGTGAGAGTTCCCCTTTGCGGTCAGTAAGTAGCCCAGCTTGGCAGGAGAGCATTCGCAAAATCAATCCAGGAAGAAGAGTGTCATTTGCTTTTAGAGGCCCTGAGTCGGTTGCAACGTGAGGGAAGTGACATTGGAGAAGTGAGCCGGGAGGAGAATTGGCTGGGTAGGGAAGTCACTGCAGTGCGAAACTCCTTAGGAATCTAGGGTTTAAAGTGTCTACTAGAAGGGTATGTTATGAACACTTCCAGTTCCAGGACCACGACTTAGTAGTGTCTGCCTGCCTCACATTAGTATGATTGGGGTGATTAAGGGAGATGTTGCAAGAAAAAACGGACAGGAGTTGATGATTGAGGGGATATGAGGGAAGGAGATGGATGTTTCACATATGACTCGTGTGATTTCCTTAACTTTTCCCCGAAATGTGCATGCCTTGTGGTTAGACCAACCAAAAACCCAAGCCCACAGCTGTTGAGTCGGTTCTAGAACTGTCCCATAGGGTTTCCAAGGCTGCTACGTCTTTCTCCTGCGGAGTGGCTGGTGGGTTTGAACCGCCGACCTCTCAGCAGTTGAGCGCTTTAACCACTGGGCCACAAGGGCACCTATGTGATTGGACAGGAGAGATCAAAAGCTCTAAGTTGAGCAGCGTGCCTTATTATTAGAAAGGATGTCAGTTGTCTTAATCCTAATTGAATAGTATGTTGTGCTAGATGACCATAAAGACTCACTTGGGGCTTGAAGTTTAGTGGGGGAAGCTACTGGGGTCCTTCCCTTCTTCCCACTCCCCTTTTTGAAGTCAGTAATCAATCCCTATGAAATGGTTGAAACTAAATTCCTAAGGAAAACTTATCAGGCAGAAGGGATACTTGTTCTGTCTCAAAGGCCATGGGTACATACCAATTCCACACAAAACTGAAGCAATTTGTTTGTCTATTAAGAAAGCAGATAGCTAACATTTACATTGCACTTTCTCTGCACCAGACACTGTTCTGAACACTTCACCTGTATTAACTCATTTAATAATCCTCACAGTAACCCTTTGAAGTAGGTTACTGTTATCATCCTCATATTACAAATGGGGAAACTGAGGAATAGAGAGGTTAAGTAACTTGCCAACCAGTAAGCATCAGAGCTGAAATAGGAACTCAGGCAGCCTGGCTCCAGAGTCCATGCTCTTAATCACTACAGTATACTGAAATTATGTGTCTTACATAGGAGGATGTGTTAGAGACCTTTACAAGAAGTGCAATCACCACTTATTTATGTATATATCTGGGTATATTATACACACACACACAGAATTCGCATGTATGCATATAATATATATTTAAATGTTTGAAAAGTGTATTTAAAGTTTCAGAGAGAGTGTTTATTTTAAAGTATAAACCAAACGAAAACCTGTTGCCGTCGAGTCGATTCCAACTCATAGCGACCCTATAGGACACAGTAGAACTGCCCCATAGGGTTTCTGAGGAGCCGCTGGTGGATTTGAACTGCCAGCTTTTTGGTTAGCAGCCAAGCTCTTAACCACGACGTATAGGAGGTAGAAATTTGTCAAGAGAAATGGAAGGAACCATTAGGAATAAAAAAGAAAGGGGGGGGGGAGGTTGGTAGCAGATACCTATGAATGGCCTCAAATGCAAACCAGATAGAAGATCTAACTAAAGGACACTTCAAAACAGATGGAAGAAAAGCTAGACCCATTTGAGAGATTGGAAATAGAGCAAACACATGTTCTATGACAAATTTGTTGTTGTTGTGTGCCTTGGAGTTAATTTCAACTCAGTGACCCTATAGGACAGAGTAGAACTGCCCCATAGGGTTTCATAGGCTGTAATCTTTATGAGAGCAGATCGCCAGGTCTTTTCTCCCATGGAGTGGCAAGTAGGTTCAAACTACCAACCTTTTGGTTAGCAGCCAAGTGCTTAACGATTGTGCCACCTGGGCTCCAATGACTAAAATACTGACGTTAAAAAATAGATTTAAAAAGATTTTACATTGCTTTAAAAATCATTATAGTTTAAGTGAAGTAATATTTTATTATCAGGGCTTTAATTTTTTTTTTTTTTTTTTTTTTTTAGGTGAAAGTTTACAGAGCAAATTAGTTTCTCATTCAACAATTTATACACTAATTGTTTTGTGACATTGGTTGCAATCCCCACAATGTGTCAGCACTCTCCCCCTTTCTCTTTCCACCCTGGGTTCTCCGAGTCCATTCATCCAGTTTTTCTGTCCCTTCTTGCCTTCTCAGCATTGCTTTTGGGCAGGTGTTGCTCATTTGGTCTTGTCTACTTGATTGAACTAAGAAGCACATTCCTCACGTGTGTTACTGTTTGTTTTATAGGCCTGTCTAACCTTTGGCTGAAAGGTGGACTTTGGGAGTGGTTCCAGTTCTGATTTAGCAGGGTGTCCGAGGGCCATAGTCTCAGGGGTTCCTCCAGTCTCTGTCAGACCAGTAAGTCTGGTCTTTTTTTGTCCATTTGAATTTTGTTCTACATTTTTCTCTCACTTTCTCCCAAACCCTCTACTGTAATCCCTGTCAGAGTGATCGGTGGTGGTAGCCAGGTACCATCTAATTGTTCTGGGCTCAGGCTGATGGAGGCTGTGGTTTATGTGGTCCATTAGTCCTTTGGACTAGTATTTCCCTTCTGTCTTTGGTTTTCTTCATTCCCCTTTACTTAGGACAGGATGGGACCAATAGATGGCCATTCAAAAGCTTTTAAGACCCCAGATGCTACTCATCAAAGTCAGATGTAGAACAGGGGCTTTAATTTTTGTTCGGGAGTGGGAGGGAGGTAGGTGGGTGAGGTGTCAGTAAGAGTTAAACCAGGTATCCTGTGGGCAGTGGTGTTCAGTGGTAGAATTTACCCCTTCTCTGTGGGAGACCCTGGTTAGGTTCCTGGCTAATGCACCTCAAGCACACAGCCACCACCTGTCTGTCAGTGAAGGCTTGCCTGTTGCTGTGATGCTGAACAGGTGATTATTGCTGTGATGCTGAACAGGTTTCAGTGGAGCGTCCAGACAGACAGACTAGAAAGAAAGGCCTGGCAATCTGCTTCCAAAAATCAGCCAGTGAAAACCCCATGGATCACAATGATCTGATCCTGTTGTGCATGGGGTTGCCATGAGTCGGGGGCCAACTCCATGGCAGCTAACAACAACATCCTGGATTTTTCCTACAGTGTGTTTCTGGAAACTGCAGAATGTGGCAGATAATCCTAAAGTAGACTGTAGTCTCCCATAGTAACAAAGTCTTAGTGGAGGCGCTGTAACTGACAAATGCTTTGTCTTAAAAAATATCAATGATGTGATGTTAGAAAGGCCAAATTGGAATAGTTGTACACTCCTGTAGTCACTTAAAATCCCACTGTTGGCTGAGCCATTGGGGCTCCTTGGCTCTGTTGTTGTTTACCATGGAGTCGATTCTAACTCATAGCGACCCTATAGGACAGAGTAGAACTGCCCCATAGGGTTTCCAAGGCTGTGAATCTTTACAGGAGCAGATCGTCAGGTCTTTTCTCCCACGGAGCTGCTAGTGGGTTCAAACTACAGACCTTTTGGTTAGCAGCCGAGTGCTTACCCGTTGCACCACTAGGACCTTGGCTCTAGCTGGGTTTTAATGCAGTATAGTAGGAATTCCCTGCTTCCACAAGGCTTTGTCCTGTTATGGGCTGCTTCTTCCCACAGTGGGGCCTTGGTCTACCTTGGGAAAAAGCTATTGGTAGCAGTTGGGAGAGGAGCCCTGGTGGCGCAGTGGTTAAGTGCCTGGCTACTAACCGAACCATCGGTGGTTCAAACCCACCAGCCATTCTGCGGGAAAAAGACGTGGCAGTCTGCTTCTGTAAAGATTACAACCTAGAAAACCCTATGGGGCAGTTCTGCTTTGTCACATGGCATCACTATGAGTTGGAATCGACTCGACAGCACCTGACAACAACAACAACAACAACGGCAGCAGTTGGGAGAGATGGAATGAATATTGAGAGTTGAAGACCTTTGTAAGCAGGCAGACCAAGTAGCTGCTATGTATAAAATTGACTACTAGGGAAACCCAAACTACTTACTGCCTATGAGGTTGATGTTTTGGGACAAATGGAACTCTTGCTTAAAGAGTAAAGTAATGGTACAAGTAACTAAAACAAGAATAAATATTGCAGATTATGTAAGAGGCCCTAGTGCACTCCAAAGTGCTCACTAGGACATAAAATATAACTCTATGCTTCGATAAATTAATATGTTAACTGTAGTCAGCTTAAGTTTGCCACTTAGGCCGTCTTTGGGGGATGATTTAAAAAATTATTTTAGTAAACCTTATTTTGTGATAATTTTAGATTTACGGGAAGGTTGTAAACATAGTGCATAGAGTTCCTGTACACCGCTCAGCCAGTGTTGGGGGGATAACTTTGATAGTCCTCATCTCAGGAGAAGTTCTCAGCAAAAGAAATGATGTTTCTTTCCCCACCCCCACCCCCCATGCATTTCCCTGTATTTTGGCAGACATGTGGAAACTCCTTCCTTTGATCTTAGGAGTGGGCCCAAAATAAAGAGTCAGTAAATGTTTGGTGGAGGTCGTGATGGGGCTTCTCCAACTGAAATACATTTTTTAGAGCACAGTTTCTCCTCTTTCCCTTCCCTCTTCAGATTAGCCAAAGCCACAGTTGCAGCTGTTTAGTGTAAGAACTCACGGGAACAACAAGGGCTGTTAAATCCCTTTCCCAGTAATTCTTTCGAAAAACTATAAAAACAATTACCAGGTCACGTTAGCAAGCACGATTAAAGAAGAGCTTCTTAAACTCATACAAGTGCTGAGATTGAAGTGTCTGTATTGAATGAGATATGCTAGTACGTAGCGACCCTATACGATAGAGTAGGACTTGTTCCATAGGGTTTCCAAGGAACGGCTGGTGGATTTGAACTGCTGGCTTACACTGTAGCTTTTAACCACTGCACCACCAGGGCCCGAGAGTATGCTCTTCTCTATGCTCTTTTCTAAGGAGCCCTGGTGGTACAAATGGTTAAGCTTGGCTGCTAACTGAAAGGTTGGCGGTTTGAACCCACCCAGCAGCTCCATGGGAGAAAGACCTGGGGATCTGCTTCCATAAAGATTACAATCAAGAAAACCTTATGGCGCAGTTCTACTCTGTCACATGGGGTCGCTATGCGTTGGAATGGACTCCATGGCACCTGACAACCACACGCACTTACCGGTTCTAGATATTTCATATAAGTGGGACCATACGGTATCTGTCCTTAATATTCTTTAATATACTTTTGTTTGTGTTTACAGGATAGCAGTTAGTTAAGAGTGTGACTTTGGAGCCACAATTTCTGGGTTCGAATCCCAGCTCTGCCATTTACTAACCATGGGATTTGGGGCAAGTGACTTAACCTCCCCATGCCTCATTGCCTCATCTGTAACATGGGGATAATAATAGTCCCTACCTCATAGGGTTGTTGTGAGGATTAAGTGGATAAATATGTGTAGAGTACTTAGCATGGTGCCTGGCTCAATAAATGTTAGATATTGTTATTCTCGGCCTCTAGGACTTGGCGGGAATGGATTAAATGAGCCATTAAAAACGCTGGCTGATGTTGATAAAAATGTATTTCTTATGCTTGATTTGAACAGAAACTCAGCCACCTGTGACCAATTTGAGTGTTTCTGTTGAAAACCTCTGCACAATAATATGGACATGGAATCCTCCTGAGGGAGCGAGCCCGAATTGTAGTCTGTGGTATTTTAGTCATTTTGGCAACAAACAGGATAAGGTAAGTTTTCTGGAACATATGGCATTGATGAGGTAAAGTGAACACTGAATTGGAGCCAAGAAAAAGCCAAATTCTAATTTTACTTCTAAGTGGGAATTTTATTTTGTAGTGTGCTAAGATTTTAATTGGGGGAAAATTATAGAATCAACTGTTGACAAAATTGAACATTTAAAAATATTTGCTAATTATTTGGTAATTAAATGTAATTGAGATTTCTGTGATAGGAAGTACCAGATATCTTTATCTATTAGACACTCAAATAAATAATTGACTGTATGTTAAAATCTGTTCCTATGTTCATGCCTGTAGCTGTATCATTTGTATCTATCACTTTCAATTTCTCAGAGAAGTTTCACATTTACTATCTTGCTCATCACATATACAGATAGATATGCAAGAACTATATGATCCAAAAGTAAGTGGCCATATGGAAGGTGAACAAATAAGATGTTGGTTGAAGCTGGGGTTGAGAAGAAGTTACCCTAATGCCTGAAGAAAAATGAGGGGAACTTTTAATTTTTCTAATCAGATGCAGTCAACCCATTTAAATAAATTTTTGTTAACAAGATTGGATAATTCCAAGTTCTTACTCAACAAATTTTTCTCTTGATCCTTATTGGTTTGTAGCCCCCTATAATTGACAGGTTCTTCAGAGCATCAGGTCATTTGCCCAAAGCTGTTTTATGTTTTCTTTAATTTTGCATGTGGAGGGGTGATGGGGGAGGTATTTGGGGTTGTTGAATTTTTGACTTCATGAGTGTTCTCAGAATTAGGTTTAGGGTTTTGAGGCAGCATAGTGAGAAGTTATTAGTGACAATACTTTGGATTAATGAGTTGTGAATTCACCATATTCATGCAGCTTTGGAGGCAGGAAAAGTCAGAACTAGGTTCTAGTTGAGGCAACTTCCTTAACCACTCTGAGTCTTAGTTTCCTCTTGCATAAAGTGTAGACCTACTGATGTCCCTGGGTTGCTGGGACAGGGAAAATAATGTATGCGAAAGTGAAATAAGGGAGGATGAAATAGGCTGTTCCTCTTAAGGGAGACTTGCTAATCTGCTTTCTGTCCCCTTTTCCTGCTGAGGTGTTAATTAATGCTCTCCTGTTAATTAACGCTTGCATGTTAGTTGATAAAGAATTGAGGCATCACTGAAGTATTTGCATCTTAAAAGAGGTCCTCTAAAGGCAGAAGCTTGCAGTACTTGTAGCAATGAGACTGGTTGAGTTCCCCTTTTCACACTTTTGGTGGTGAAGAGTTTTGGTAGGTTAGCCTTGAGAAATTCAGGGCAAGACCCATGAGTGCCTCTGGGTCAGTGGTGTCTCTAGGGTTGGTGTCACCCAGTGCGGTAACTCATGGTGTCACCCCCCCCACCCCATGAACCTCCTCCCATACCAGACCATACAGAATCCTTAGTAATGTTTTCTGTACTAATGTTACTCGTAAATCGTAATTCCCGTATATCACTCCTTCTTTTCCTTTAATTACTACTTTATTCTCAAAAAGTTATTGATATAGGTTCACAAATACTAATTACCGCAATATTGTAGCTAAAACACCAGAAAATTTGACAAAATCAGCAACTGAAAACACTGGCAGCACATGATTCGAAGCGTCATTGTAATTGGGTAATAATGACAGATCTGACCAGAGTGCATTAGACAGCTTAAAAAGTAAATTAGCATAGAGTTTAAGCCTTGTAGGTATATTGGTACATGTAAGCTGGGCTTACAAAAATTGTTTTTATCGTTATAACTAACTACAGGGATTTTTTATAGACAATCATTTTGGTGTCACCCACTCTGACAGTGTCGCCCGGTGCAGTCTGCACCCCCCACACTTCCCTAGTGACGCCACTGGTTTGAGTGTAAACTCCGTAAAACCAAAAACTAAACCCGTTGCCGTCAAGTCAATTCCAACTCATAGTGACCCTATAGGACAGAGTAGAACTGCCCCATAGTGTTTCCAAGGCTGTAATCTTTACAGAAGCAGACTGCCACATCTTTCTTCCATGGAGGGGCTGGTGAGTTCGAAATACATCTAATTGAAACCATGAGGACAGGTCACCTATTTTCTAACAGGTCACTTTTCATTAGCCTGTCAACTGTGCTTCAAGGATCAATCAGGTTAAAAAAAAAACCATTGCCATAAAGTCGATTCTGACTCATAGCAACCCTATAGGTAGACATGTTGATATTCTAGCCCAGAATGAGGCTAATTCCTCAGTGCACTTATGGAAATTTAGAGTTTATAAGTAATTTTAGGAGACAGTAGAGTCAGATAGAATTGGGTTTGAAATTTTGCTTCTTTTTTTGAGCAGTGTGACTTTGGGCAAGTCACTTCACATCTCTGTCACAAAGACATTTCCTTGTTTGTAAAACGGGGGGGGGGTGTGATAATAGTATCTACTTCATGTGGATGGAGTGTGCATTAAATGAGATGATGTTTGTAATGCACGTGGCACAGAGTTAGTGCTCAGTAATTGTTAGCTTTTACTATTATTACTATTATTAGATTAAATCATATGAATTTGCCATTTTTATAGGTCAAAAATGGTTGAATATTGTCAATATTAAATGGTTCAACTTAATATTATTATTTAATCTTGTTTCCTCCATTTTTCTTTGGAAGAGACCAGATAGAGATCATAAGGGGTGATTGCTGCCTAAGACCTGCTTGTTTATTCCAGCCATTTGACAGTGTTGATAGCTGTCAATCATGCAATTGTGATCAACACTGATTATTCCTTCCAATCAGTGATGTAGATTTCCTCCCTGGGCCTTTTGAAGTTTACAGTCCTGAGGCTGAGATTGAGCAGCCGGGGTAATTTTTTTTCTCAAGTCCTTTGGACACAGCATTAATGTCATCAGAAAAAAACTGGGCTGTACGTATCCTTGAAGCATATTGAAGCAGTGGCATTATGATAGTTTGTACATGTAGGGGCTGTCTGTGAACATCCAAAAGTACCAAGCTGCTAACTGAGATAAACTTTGGAGGTCATTTTCAATCTTTTTTTTCCTCTATACAACTTTTATTAATAGATAATCAGTTTATTGTGGAGTCACTAAGTAAACAAACAAATATTTCAAAAAATATCTCTTGGAAGGGACACCAACTTATTAGGTTGCAGGGTGCTCATGATTCCTGGTCCAGCCCTGAACCTAGGAAGCAAATCAGCTCAGGCCCCAGCCCCACTGGCTTTGGTTTGCTCTTTTGTGCATAAAGGAAATAAACTAGAAGCTTAACAAATGTTAGTTAACTGAGTACCTTTAAAATCACATGAATCTTTGAAGTTGTTCTTGAAAGAAGTAGACAGCTAGCATTTAGAAATCTTTTACTATGCACGGGATTTTGCCTTGACAGTTTTGCTGTGGTAGTAAGATCTGACTTGAGGAAGTAGCAGCTGTTCCTTGCCCTGAATAGTGCCCCACCCAGGCAGGCTGAAATCCTCTTTCTTACAGCTCATTTTCCTCTGCTGCCTACACAAGTCCAGTTCAGCCACCGTTTTGGAGAAAAGTTTTGGGCAAAACTAGAGCCAGAATGAGTAGAAAGGATGTTTCCAGAGGCCACCATTTAGGGCCTCTACTTGGAGGAGGGCAGAACCCATATGTCATGGTTTGAATTATGTCCCGCAAAAAATGTGTGTATCAGTTTGGCTAGGCCATGATTCCTGGTACTGGGTGATTTTCCTGTATGTTGTAAACCTGCCTCTATGATGTTAATGAGGGACTATGGGTGGCAGTTGTGTTAGTAGGGCAGGACCTGATCTACAAGACTGGATTGTGTCCTGAGGCAATCTCTTGAGATATAAAAGACAGAAGTAAGCAGTGAGACAGGGGGACCTCATACCATCAAGAAGCAGTGCCGGGAGCAGAGCGGGTCTTTTGGACCGGGGTCCCTGCGCCAAGAAGCTCCTAGTCTGGGGAACACTGATGAGAAGGCCGAGAGAGAGAAAGCCTTCCCCTGGAGCTGACACCTTGAATTTGGACTTTTAGCCTACTTTACTGTAAGGAAATAAACTTCTCTTCATTAAAACCATCCACTTGTGGTATTTCTGTTGTAGCAGCACTAGATAACTAAGACACCATAAAACGTGAGTGTGAACACACACAAACTCATGCTCATCATTCACCTGTACTAGCCTCTCACCCAAACCAGAAAAACCCAAATGAGTTACCCTGGAGTCGGTTCCAATTCATGACGATCCCATGTGTGTCAGAGTAGAACTGGGCTCCATTGTGTTTTCACTGGCTAATTTTGGGGAAGTAGATCGCCAGGCCTTTCTTCCAAGTCACCTCTGGGTGGACTCGAACCTCTAACCTTTCAGTTAGCAGCCATGAGCTTTAACTGTTTACACAATCCAGAGACGCCAGCCTCTAACCCAGGTCTTCTCAAATTTGAATGTGCATACAGATCATTTGAGAATACTGTTAAAATGCAGATTCTGATTAAATAAGTCTGGGATGGGGCCTGAGAATCTGCACTGCTAATAAGCTCCCAGGTGATGCTGATATCCTGGTCCTAAGACCATACTTTGGTACACAAACTGCATTCACTGTTTTAGGGGCTAGGGATAAGTGTGAATCGGGGAGGCCAGAGTCTAAAAGAGGAGATAAATATATAGGCCAGTGGGGACATTACAATGTTATAAGTGCTAATAAGGGTACATATAGATGTGCATAAGCATAGAGGAAAAGAGACTGAGTAGAGGGATCCAAGACTTAAAAAAAAAAAAAAAGTCTGGCAGAAATTGATGGACTTCTATCTGTGGATTCTCTTGACAGGATCTGGAAGGAAATGAGGTCAGTTTGGCAAGACTGTATTTAGCAACTTGGATGGTGACTTCCCTGGGTGCAGTGATATTTTTCACTTACCTTTGTAGGAATCCTTGGGTGGTGCAGATGGTTAACTCCCTTGGCTGCTAACCCAAAGGATGGCAGTTAGAACCCACTCAGAGACTCCCTGGAAGAAAGGCTGGCGATCTGCTTCCGAAAGGTTGTGGTGGTGGTCAGGTGCCAGCGAGTCAATTTGCGACCCCATAGTAACCCTATGTGACAGAGTAGAACTTCTCCAGAGGGTTTCTAGGCTGTAATCTTTCCAGGAGCAGATTGTCATTTTCAGTCTTAAGACTGGAAGATCATCAAGATGAGAGACAGGGATTCATAGATAATTGAAAAAATATATATTAGTATAAGTGGCTGCCCTCCACCATGTTTTAGCAATATCTGATAGTTCTCCTATCTGGCAAGCAGAAAAAGGTTCTGGCACCAGATTTTAGGTTATCTTTCATCACTATGAGATAGACAAGTCCCATTAGGTAAATTAATCAAGACTGTTGCTACATCCAAGGAGCCCTGGTGATGCAGTACTTAAGTGCTCGGCTAACTGAAAGGTCGGTGGGAGAAAGATGTGGCAATCTGCTTCCATAAAGATTACAGCCTTAGAAACCCTATGGGGCAGTTCTGCTCTGTCCTGAAGGGCTGCTATGAGTCAGATCTACTTGGAACAGGTTTGGTCTTTTGTTGCTGTGGCCAGGCATCCAGAGAGGCAGGAGCTGAAGCTGACCCCCTTTCCTACTGAGAAAGGAATTCTGGAGTCCAGAAGGGTGTGATCCAGCCAAATGAACGTTGGCCCTGAGGCGGAGGGATCAGTTCAGGACACTGGCCTTGGTTTTTGATAAATTTTCAGATGAGGCCAGATTCTCTGAGTGGTGGAGCATAATGTCATACAACAACTACCAGTGGAATGATTCACTGTAGCCGAAAGTCACGTGGCAGCCATTACCCATACCTCCTCAAGATCTAGTGGGAGGAATTTATTTCCTTGTCTGACACAAAGAGGTATGCTGGACTTGGTGATCATTGGTAATCTGGGTGCTTTAGTCATGCCAATGTAATATTGTTTACTTTTAATTTTTTTATTTTAACCCCCCACTATCTCTTTTCTGAGTTATTTTATTACTCATATACCAAAACCATAAGGTTTAGATTTGGGTACTGAAGTATTTTTTAATTAAAAAAAAAATTCCATTATAATAAAAATCTCTGTGTAATACAACTCCTCAGCCCTCTGACTGGAATAATATCTAATATAATAAGGGAACTGTAATTTTTCCATGATGAGTCTGATTTATGGAATTTGACCATACATTCTCCCCTGGTATCCTCAAAGGGCAAATGCTACTTCCAAACAAGAATTATCAGGGATCTTTGAGTCAGAGTGGCTCCTTCAGGGATATATGGGACTTGTCCTTAGTAAAACTGTGAAGTTGGAGAGATTTGCATTCAGAGCCTTCCTGCTACCACTACCATGATCCTGGGAGCTGGTCTTCAGGCACAGAAGCCTCGTTTCCTCAGTACACTAAGAGTACATTCATCTCTCAGGGGCCAATTCCTTACTTTGCCATGAGAACAATAATTGTGAAGCATTCCAGGAAGCCTCCTGTCGGCATAACTGGTGCGATTTATCTCTGTAGGCAGAAGCTACCTGGGAAACCAAATTATAAGCAAATGTCTTGGTGAGGAATTAGGAATTAGTTGGAGAATAGCATGGAGGCCCCACTGAAGGTCTCCATAGCTTTGCTGGTGGGACAGAAATAGTCTATGTCCACTTAGCTAAATCACCCTCATTTCTCTCCCTGCTTTTGCCTTGTAGACATTTCTTTTTCTGTGCTTTCAGGGTTGACCAACTCGCTTTTCAGAGTGTAATCTTACCTGGACCTAAGAGCCACTCTGTCTCTATAAAGTGATTTTTCATGTCTTTGCTATGGTTCATTCATTAATTGTTGATTTATTAGATTACCCCTCAGAGGGCATACTTATGTCCTGCTTTTGAGGGCATTTCATGCTTGCCCTCATGCTAAGCTGGCAGCAGGCATGTGAAATGGCAAAACAACCCCTTGGGGTGGTATATAGAGGCAACAGTGACAAATTTTCCCCTTCATGACCATCAGCACGTACATGAAAGGAAGTGCTGTCCTCAACTTGAGTCAAAAACTATTGCAAAACAGGAAGTGCTCTCCTAGGAGTGCTGAGTAAAAGCAGCTCCATTCTTAATTATTCCAACTCTATCACTTTGGGAAATACTAATTTCCGAAAGAACCCTTTGATCTCATTATTCTAAATCATAATAACCAGATTTGTGATTTACGTCTCTATGCTGCCTATAAGTTGGTTTTCTGTGGTTCCACAAAGCTTATCTACTTTTCAGAATAGGAGTGTGGTATACTAAGTGCATAGAAACCTAAAACCCATTGCCGTGGAGTCGATTCTGACTCATAGTGACCCTATAGGACAGAGTAAAACTGCCCCGTAGGGTTTCCAAGGAGCAGCTGGTAGATTTGAACTGCCGACCTTTTGGTTACCAGCCGTAGTGTATATAGCAATCCTTAAATTTTATATATATGCATGTGAGATAGGCCACGTAGTCAAACTGTACAGAAAGGTGTTCAGTGAAGTCTCTGTCCTCCTCCCTCAGGCTTCCCTCCTTTACTTCCTCTCCCTAGAAAACCAAACCAGTTCCTGTCAAGTCGATTCCAACTCAGATGATGACCCCATGTGTGTCAGAGTAGAACTGTGCTCCATAGGGTTTTCACTGGCTAATTTTTCAGAAGTAGATCACCGGGCCTTCCTTCCGAAGAGCCTCGGGTGGACTCGAACCTCCAACCTGTCAGTTAGCAGCCAAGTGTGTTAACCGTTTGCACCACCCAGAGACTCCCCTTTCCTAAGAGGTGACCACAATTACTGGATTCTTAAAGCAATCCTTTTAACCTTGATCTTGATGGTATACTGTATCTGCTTGGAATTGAACTTTGATAATCATATTGTGCTTCTCTCAAAATTGATTTTAGACGGTTGATATGTTAGCATGATGTTTATATATTTAAAAATGAGGGAAATTGTCTTTTATCTGTACCAAGTTTGCTCAACAGCTGCACTACTGACCTTTGGGGCAGCATAATTCTTTGTTGTGGTGGCTGTCCTGTGTGTTGTAGGATGTTTTGCAGCATCCCTGGCCTCTACCCAATAGATGCCAGTAGCACTCCCCTCCCAAGTTATGACAACCAAAAATGCCTCCAGACATTGCCAGATGTCCCAAAGGGGGAGGGTAGAATCACCCCTGGTTGAGAATCACTCACTCATCTATACCATTTGAAAACTTACCTGTTCCTTTAAAAAGCACATTATGTATGCTAATGTTTTATCATTTAAGTATATTTCTGTGTATTTGCTACAGCAATGCCTTTTCTATTTTCTAACCTTAGAAAATTGCCCCAGAAACTCATCGTTCGAAAGAAGTGCCCCTGAATGAGAGGATTTGTCTGCAAGTGGGGTCCCAGTGCAGCACCAATGAAAGTGAGAAACCTAGCATTTTGGTGGAAAAGTGCATCTCACCCCCTGAAGGTAACAGCTGAAAGTACTAATTCTTGGTGTTTAGAGAATGAATCTCATGCATGTGCTTATGTTCATCGTTCATTAATTCATTGAATTCTCAAACGTTTGCAGAGTCTAATAAGTTCCAGGCATTGGACTGGGTGCTGACAACACAATCATAAATAATAGTATATCCCTGCCTTCATGGAGCTCACAGACAATGTGAATAACAATGCCTGATAGTTATATAGCACTTAATAATTTGAAAAATTACACACACACTCTTCCCCAGAATTGAGCCTTACAAGCTTATCTTGGGTAGTAAACGAGGCATATATTATTACTCTGCTTCATTTTATGGGGAAGAAGGAACTGAAATGACTTGCTCTAAGTCACAAGTGACAGCACTGACACTAGAACCTGAGTCTTCAGATTCCAGGTCCAGCCAAAACCAGAAAACCAAACCCACTGCCATCAAGTTGATTCTGAATCATAGTGACCCCATAGGACAGAGTAGAACGGCCCCATAGGGTTTCCAAGGCTGTAATCTTACGGAAGCAGACTGCCACATCTTTCTCCCACAGAGCAGCTGGAGGGTTTGAACTGCTGACCTTTCAGTTAGTAGCCAAGAGCTTTAACCATTACACCACCAGGGCTCCGATCCAGGTCCAGTGCTTTAAAAACAGAACAGTGTCTTACTTACATGGAGATGAGTTTGATATACAGGATGTATTTGGGGAAAGATGTTAGAAAAAGAAAAACGGGCATGTTGGCCTAGTTCCAACAGTAGACTAGCCCTAGGAAAAGCTGTCAAGTAGTGAGATTGATCATCGGATCTTTGACTCGCTTCCCTCTCATCACCCGGTGTTCTATGGCTCTTGTGTTACAAACAGGAAGTAGCATATACTGATTAAAAGCCCAGCTGTTTTAAGTTTAAATCGCAAGCCTGCCAATTACTTATTTTGGGACTTTGGGTAGATTACTTAACTCGTCTGTACTTTAGTTTCCTCATGTGTAAAATGGAGATAATAATATTGTAGTACCACCTCTCAGGATTGTTGAGAGGATTACATAGATCAATATATGTAAGGTGCTTAGAACAGTACCTGGTGAAGAGTAAATGCTGTATATATTATCTATTAATATTATGTTGCCCCTTGGTTGTCCTCTACCGTGTCCCACCGCCAAACCTTAGCACTACATGTGCTGTGCTCCAGACCATTCTCTCTACCCACTTTCCAATAGTCAAAAGTATATGAAGTAATATGTGTAAAATTGTAAGATTCAGTACTGCTAGAAGTCTGGGAGCATGATGTAAAACAACTTACCTGCCCTATTCTCATTCCTTTAGGAGTTTATAAATACTTTGAAAAAACCTAAATTACACTATGACAGTAGAATGGTTGAAGATGGCTCAGTGCAGTACCCCTGCAAGGATCACCAGGGATAGCAGGCTGGCATCTGAAGCAGAGGCATTTAATTTAGAGACGTGATGCTTTAACTCAGAAGGCTTTATAAAGGCTGCAGGTTTCAGGTCATAAAGATTTTAGAGCTCCCAAGGTCACGACAAGGAGCCCTGGTGGTGCAGTCGTTAAACATTTGGCTGCTAACCAAAAGGCTGGTGGTTTGAACCCACCACCAGCTGCTTCATAGGTAAAAGATGTGACAGTCTGCTTTCATAAAAATGACAGTCTAGGAAATCCTACGGGGCAATTCTACTCTGTCCTATAGGGTCACTATGAGTCAGAATTGACTCGAGGGCTGTCGGTTAAAGTCACAGCGATAGACAGCTGCTAGGAGTTATATTTACTCTTCCCCAGAATTGCTTCGGGAGGAATGCTTGTTTGTTTAATTTTTTTTATTGTGGTGAAAGTATATATACCAAAACATTTGCCAATACAACAAACTTCCACACTTAAAATTCAATGACATTGATTACATTTTTCATGCAACACCATTATCACTATCCCCCTCTAAAACATTCCACCACCATCAACATAAACCCAATGCCTCCCCACAAATAAACTCCCCCTTTCTCCTTCCCTTCAACCCCTAGTAAACATCAATAATCTTTGGTTTCTATATATTTGCTTATTTCATGTAAATGAGATTATACCGTATTTGACCTTTTGCGACTGACTTGTTTCACTCAGCGTAATGTTTTCAAGGTTCATCCATGTGGCATGCATCAGAACTTCATTTCTCTTTATGGTTGAATAATATTCCATTGTATGGCTATAGCATGTTTTGTTTATCCATTCATCTGTTGATAGACTTATTTAATTTTTTAAATAAGATGTGTCAGTATTGATCAAAAGATAGGTAAATTATATATCAATACATTTTTTTTTCCCAAAAGATACAGGGTTGTTTCTATTTCCATGTTCAATTAGGAATTCTATAGTCATTGCCTATGATTAAAATATTATTTGACCTTTAACTTCTATCTCCAGTTAGGGGTACAAGAGTTAGGGTCCCTAAGAGATAGCAAATATATTTTCTTATTATCAGGAGGTGATAGAGAAAGTTGTGAGCAAATTAGATTTGAGTTTTCTCTGTCCTGGGTATAAAATGAGCAGAGATTAGGGATTGGCTTTCCGGTAAGGCAGCATGAAACACCCTCACCAACCCCCATTCCCCAGAGTGAGTTGGCTAGTTTGCGTTATAAGGAAATGAAGAGTCCTAAACTCTTGGCCTGGGTTTTCTAGGTGATCCTGAGTCTGCTGTGACTGAGCTGCAGTGCATTTGGCACAACCTGAGCTACATGAAATGTTCTTGGCTCCCTGGTAATAAAACAGGTCCCGACACTAACTACACGCTCTACTATTGGTGAGTATGTATAGTAGAAGGACAGAGCCTTTGGATCCAACCTAGTTTAAAAAAAAAAAGAGAAAAGCCACCTCTCCTGAAAGCCCAAGAAGATGGGCAATTTACTTCAGTGGAAAATGCATCAGTTTTTGGTGTCTACATTTTTTTAACACCTTTTTTATTTTGAAATAATTATAGATCCATAGGAAGTGGCAAAAAACACACAGGGAGGTCCCTTGTACCCTTCACCCATTTCCCCCTAATGGTAACATCTTGCACAACTAGAGTACAGTATCAAAACCAGTACAATCCACTGACCTTATTCATATTTCACCAATTTTACTTGTATTCATGTGTGTGTGTGTAGTTCTATGTAATTATCACATGTTTAGATACAGAACATTTCTATTACCCTAAGGATCTCTCAAGTTGCTCTTTTATAGCCACACCTACCTCCCTCCTGTACCACCCCACCAGTCCCTAAACCCTGGCAGCCATTAATCTGTTCTGTATCTCTATACTTCTGTCATTTCAAGAATGTTGTTGAAATGAAATTATATAGCATATATTCTTTTGCACTTGCCTTTTTCACTCTGTATAATGCCCTTGAGATCCATCCAAGATGTTGCATGTATCAGTAGTTTGTGCTATTTTATTGCTGAGTAGTATTCTGTTGAGTGGACCACAGTTAACCATTCACCCACTGAAGGACATCTTGGTTGTTTCGAGGTTTTGGACATTATAAATAAAGCTTCTGTGAACATTTGAGTACAGGCTCTTGTGTCAACATGAGCTTTCAGTTCTCTGAGATAAATATCCAAGAGTGCAGTTGCTAGGTCATGTGGTAATTGCTTGCTTAGTTTTATAAGAAACTGCTGGACTATTTTCTAGATTGGCTGTACCATTTTTCATTCCTACCAGCAGTGTAAGAGTAATTGGTGTCTACTTTTAAAAAGGAAAATTATGTCATTCCCAGGGTCAAAAAGCAGCTTAGCTCCTTACAAAATAACTTGCCGTTTATATTTGTGACTCTGTCTGTAACATTTGATATCCAAATTAACCTTTGAACATTTCCTATCCTTGAGAATCTAGAATTATTAGCAATAGAACAGGAAGAAAGGACCAGGTTAATCAATTCAATTCAGTAAACTTTTATTTGGCACATATTGTGGATAAAGCACTGAAGGGGAAACAAATGAGAAACAAACATGTCTCTTTGCTCCAAAAGCTTACGGTATAGGAGAGAGAGCCCCAGACACAGTTACCTATAATAAAACAAGGCAGTGTATGATAAAGATTTTTACAGAGATATAGACAGACTCTTGGTGGGAAGCGGCGTGGGGGTTGGGGTGCTGACAGGGAGCAGGCTTTGATGAAAAAGGGGCAGTTGAGAGTCTACGCAGACTGGGGAATTCTCAGGGGCTGGCCTCTGGGGAAAAGCATTCTGAGGAATGCGGATATTTAGTCAGTGTGATAACAGGCTGGGGAAGGACGAGATCCAGTGATGGCAGTTTGTCCTCCATGTGGCCTTGCCCCTCTTGCTATCATTTGTTAAAATTACCTCTGAAAGAATGGCCTAATGGTGCTTCTCAAAGTGTGGTGTGGAACTGTGTCCAGGGCATCTAAACCTACGATGATAAACATGGCCTTTCATACTGGAGTGTCCATGTTGTCTGATGACTTGATGAAAAATACTTTCGGTATCTTAAAACACACATGGCTATTTCCTGGAAAAGAATGCAGAAATCACATGAATTTTTGAACTAAAACCTCCAGAGTTGCCCCAGGGGTTAGCATTCACTCTCCTCTCCTGTGGAAGCGTTGTTGTGTGCTGTGGAGTCGATCCCGACTCATAGCTACCCTATATGACAGAGTAGAACTGCCCCATAGGTTTCCTAGACTGTAATCTCTCCTGGAGCAGATGGCCGGGTACTCCTGGAAAATTTGCAGAGCACTCCAGATGAAGCCAGAGGGTACTGAGAATGTGTGGTTTTGTCAGGAGGGTCCCCCCGCCACAGGTGAATAATTCTCATTTGAGATTTTGTAGTTTCACTTGCCCACTCTAGGTTCTTTCTCCTTTACTTAAAATCCTTCAATGACTTCCTGGTGACTTTGGGATAAAGTCCAAACTTGTCAGCATGATAAGATAAAGCCCTTTATGATCTGGCTCCTGTCAGTCTCTCTAGCCTCAGTTCTCATCTCCCTCCTTGTACCCATTTGCATCCCTCCCCTCAAGCCCACACCTGAACTTCTTTCAGTTCCTCACACTCACTCTTCAGACACTCATCAAACCGAATGGTGGGAATATTCTGCATCCCTCCTGAAGCCCATGCCTCGCCCTTTCATCTGGGGACTTCGTATCTGTCCTTTTTATCTCAGCTCGGACATCACTTCCTCTCCAAAAAGCTTTCCTTGACTTCTCGAGTCTAGCTACATGCCCCTTTGTTGTGTACCTCGCACTTCCCCGTGTCATAGCACTTGGTACATTGTGTTGTCATTTCCTGTTTACTTGGTAGTAGCCTTCACCAGACTGATCTCTCTTGAGAGCAGGGTCTGTGTCTTATTTGACTTCAGTGTCTCACACACGGTAGGCACTCCATAAATAAGTTTTAAATGTTTGATAGGATCCAAAGCTAGAGAACATTTGGTGTAGGGGCAAGGACCTAGGAGGTACAAGTAACTCAGGAGCGTTATCGCTCAGGAATAAAATAAAATAAAAACAGAGGATTGAGTAGATCTGACACCCAGAAGAATTGCTAGTGAAGGGACCAGAGAACCAAGCCTTGAAAGGAATAGCCAGGCTCTGTTGGTGCAGGGAGAGCTGTTACTACAGACTTGTAAGATATCTTATAAGTTGCTTGCATTCCTATGTTTGTTATGCTGTTAACCCCTATTGCTTTCCCTGGTGTCGTTATTGGTGAAACCACAGGAAAAACCTTCAAAGAGTCTGTGTTTGTATAAGGGGCAAGAAATGAAGGGAAAAAGTCTTAAAGCTGTATCTCACTCCATGGTTGACTGTGTATAAGAATCAGAGTGGCGCTAGAGGTAGATGGCAGCCTAGTCCTTGGTTCTTATAAGACAAAAATAGGGAAGTGCCTTGGGACATGTACTTGCTGTTGTTGTTAGCTACCGTTAAGTCAGCCCCTGATTCATGGTGACCCCATGTGTTACAGAATAGAACTGCTCCATAGGGTTTTCTTGGCTATAATCTTTATGGAAGCAGTTCACCAGGCTTTTCTTCCTCGGATAGCCGCTGGGTGGGTCCGAATCACCAACCTTTAGGTTAGCAAACTGTCTTAGTGCAAGTGGCAAAAAGAGCGCCCCCTTTGGGTGAATGAATTACTGGACCAACCAATTTGAAAAATACTCCTCTTCCTCTGGGCTGATGCTGCCTCTTGCCAAAACCAGGAGCAGATGGTGCTTGGGCTGGCTTTCAATCCCTAGTTGATGCCTTTGTGCAGGGCATCGACTTCTTTGGAGGTGGTTCATGAAGCAATCCCAAGACAGTAATGGTTCATTGACACCCAAGGGAGACAGGTATCAGGGATCCCCGTTTCTTGTCATCTGCGTTCCCAGATGGTCATCAGTGTGGGCTCTTTCTGTAGTATAGACCTGTGCTATCCTACAGTAGCCACCAGCCACATGTAGCTATTTGCATTTTAATTTTAATTGATTTAAAATTAAATTAAAACTTCTGTTGCTCAGACTTACTAACTTTTTTTTACATGTGGCTAGTGGCTACTGTATTGGACAGATAGAGAACATTTCCATAATCCCAGAAAGTTCAGTTAGACAGTGCTGGCTTAGATTCTTTATCTTCGGGCCTCACCACCCCTCACGTTATTCTTTTCTAGGGCCACACTGCCTGGGTTCAAGTCCTGGCTGTCTTCCTTACTAGCAGTGTGGTTTGGGGCAAGTCCCTAATCTGTAACGTGCGGATAATAATAATAGTGTCTGCCTCTGAAGGTTGTTATGAAGGCTGAGTTTTGTATGTAAAGTATAACTGCTAATAGGGGTACAGTAAGCATTCAGTACACGAGAGCTATCATTATTATTTTTTGTTATTCATCTCCACTGCCTTGCAGATGTAATCAGGACACGTTGCTGGCCTCTTTCCTTGACTCAAAGAATCAACACCTAGCCCATACCTTCTCTTCCCCTGCTCTGTCCTCTCTCCCTTCCTCTCCTCTAACAGATCCTTTCCAATCAAAACCACAAAAGAAAGGGAGTTGAGACACAATGCATATTATCAAGCACCAGGAATTGGTTTAGGTATCAGGGTAAAGCATGTCAAACAAAACTGCCCACTTCCCTTTCCCTTAATTTGTCCATTTTATGCTTGGGGCTGCAATGTGAGTCTATGGAGGAATTCAGTGTGTGAATGTAAACAGGAACCACTGCGTGTTTTCAGTATCTTAGGTTATCATCTAATCTTCAACAAGAAGTCCAAAAAACTTCTATTTAAAACCAGTAATTTTCTCTTTTATTGACCAAAAAAACCAAACCTGTTGCTGTCAAGTTGATTCCGACTCATAGCAACCCTATAGGACAGAGGAGAACTGCCCCATAGGGTTTCCAAGGAGCGCCTGGTAGATTCGAACTGCCAACCTTTTGGTTAGCAGCTGTAGTTCTTAACCACTGCACCACCAGAGTGCCTTCTCTTTTATTACTATTTCTGAATTACAACAAAAATTTTAAAAATTTATATCTGGTATTTATGAGAATATGTGAAATACTCATGGTATAAAAATGAAAAAGGACCTAAAAGATTGTTCAGTAGAGGAGTTCCTTTTGCTATTTAAAAAAAAAATTTTTTTTCTACATTGCTTTCTTTAGTTATGTAACAAAAATGTCCTGAGTTCCTTAAGTTTCTGTTTCTGGCCAGGGGTGAAAAGCATTCCAGGCCTGTCTGATCTAAGAGTTAGCCATGACAATAACTTTAAAGTTTTGAAAGACTGTTCTCATTCATGAACCACGGGAGTCTGGAGCTAGGAGAAAAAGCTTGTGCGTTACTATCTCTTGAGGGACAAGAACATTTTCTATATTGAAGCATTTCTTTGTACTGCCTTTAAAGGAGTAAAATACGTTAGAGTTGAGTTTTTTAAAACCTGATTGACAGTAGAATCCCCTGGAGAATTGCTTTCAAAATGCTGATTCTTAGGCCCTGTTCGAAACCTTCTAAGCCAGATTCTCTGGGAGAAGGTATGTGGAACCTGCACTTTAAATTACTAGAGAGGATTCTAAGTTAAAAGGTCAAGGGTTTAAGACTCTGTTAGGTCATTTTATAAATTGTTCTTTTCTGCAGAACCTTTACACAACTCTCATTGTGTGGTTGATGATGTAAGGGTTGACCCTGTGTCTTTTGCCAGGTACTAAAAACAAGAATCTCTTGATAGCCTAGTGAAAAAAAAAAAATTGTTACGATCACATTCTGTCTGTCTGCACTGTACTAGGTGCTGGGGTCATTGGGCAGAGGTTGCGTAGCGGTCAAATGGGAAATAAGATACCAGCAATACTGCTTATGGAAGTCATTTAAAGCCACACAGTAGAGTTAGACACTTTAGAAAATCATTATGTTCTGGAACATTGATCTGGCAGTGATTGGAGGGCACTGATAACGAAGTGATTAGGGCATGAAACAGGGTGTGGGCAATGGGAATATCACAGAAGGAGAGAATCCAAGAAGCTTTTCAAAGGGAAAAATAACAGAATTTGGTAACAGAACATAGAGAAAGGACGGGGGGATAAAAGTTATTTCAGGGTGTCTGGTATGGAATCCGGAGCCCAGTGGCACAGTGGTTAAGAGCTACAGCTGCTAACCGAAAAGGTCAGCAGTTGGAATCTATCAGTTGCTCCTTGGAAACCCTATGGGGCAGTTCTACTCTGTCCCATAGGGTCATTATCAGTCGGAATCAACTTGACGGCACCTAACAACAACAATATGGGATCCCAGAGAAAATAAGGCCTGACTGATAGAAACGAGGAAGGTTGGAAGAAAAGGCAGCTTAGCATGGCAGAGGAAGAATGATATATGCTTTGGACACTGAATTTGAGGTGAGTGGAAGCCTCAAATAGAGCAATTAGAAATCTGGGACTAGCTTCAAGGTGAGAGGTCAGGACTAGGAATCCTAACGATGGAAATGATATTGAGGGATGGGAGTGATGAACTGGGGGTGAGTGAATGAGTAAGAGATAGATAGGAATGTGCAAAGGGCTGAAGACAGGGTGTGAACCCCCTGGAACAAGGAGGAGGGAAAGGAACAAGCCAAGCAACCAAAGGAAGGATCCAGCAGATGAGCCAGAGGAGAACCATGGAATTCAGCGAATGAGCTTTTTTTTGTTTTTATTATTGTACTTCAGGTGAAGGCTTACAGAACAAATAGTTTCTCATGAAACAGTAGTACACATATTGTTTTATGACATTGGTTAACAACCCCACAAC